TGTCCCCGGTGTTGCGAGGAGCTGCTCTAGCCGCTGGTATAAATTTGGCTCTAGGTAAAAAAAACCTCTTGAGAAATTGCTCGAGATTTTCTGCATTTGGTTGATGCTGGTAGTTAAGACTCACCCTTCTTGCAGGCTTTCAGCTCGTTGTCTTATGTTATTTTAGCACCGTGCTTCCTCCCCGGCCTTTAAATCTTTCGAGTCACAAGTCTGTCCGGTGTTTGAAGATACAAGCAAGTTACACCCTAACAGAGCTCCTCACCCTGTGCCTGACAGGTAGGGATTTTTTTAAATTCTGTTTAAAAAAGCATCAGTATCTTTTTTCTTTTTTTTTTTTTTTAAATCAAGTTCCAACTCAGAGCAAATTCCCACACTAGAGAACAAGAGTACTGTGATTCTACTGGAATAGTTGGCACAATCCTACTTTAAATTACTGCTCAGAGCACTAATTTAAGCCAAACTCTTTGCAGAAAGCTCCCTGCTCCATCGCACAGTTGGAAAGAGGTTACACCACAAGTGAAGTGGTCTTAGTTAATAATCAGAAACACGTTACTACGCGAAAGCACTTAGGAATAAAAGCTACCACCTCATCTCTTCCCAGAGAGCCACCAGCTGCTGTAAGCCGACTGTTTTGTGATAGCTTGCTTTTCTTCTGGGCTGAAATGCAGAATAGTCAATATGGCAGTCAGCGTCTGCTGGCGACCGAGAGAATCCGGCAGCGTCAGGAATCTATAGACAATGTTCTTGAGGTATTCCAGGTTAGCTCCCTCTCTGCTCTTATCTCTGAAGTTCTTCTCGATTTCGCTTTGAAGTGTGGATACCTCTTCCCGGTGCTTCTCCTCCTCAGCCAGGATTTTCTCCTGGAGCTGGTGAACTTGCATTTCCAGCTTGTGCTTCTGCTTCCTCAGCGCTACAATTTCCACTTCTTTGCGAGCCAGCTGCTCTGCGTACAAGAAGAAGGTGGGCTCGCTGGTGGTGGAGAGATGAAAAGCCTGGGGGAGAATCTCTGAGGCATCGTCACCTGGTGAGTCACTGCTAGTAACATCAGTCCCTGACGCCAAGTAGTTTTTGGATCCTTGAAGCCCGTAAGGCAACGTGACGGACCTCAGCTGCTCCAGCTCTTGGTCCTTTTCTGCCAGCACCGCCAGTGCTCGGTCCCGCTGTTTGTGCATCTCCTCCTCCAGCTTCAGCGCCCGTTCCCTGTAGTCCAGCTGGCATCGCTCTAATTCCTGCCTATGAATTTGCTGCAGCTGGGACAGCTCTTGCTTCTTGGCTTCCATGTCTTGCTGGTGCTGCTTCTCCATTTCATCAGAGGACAGCTGAAGCACAACGTATTTCTCTTTCAGGTCAGCCAGCTGCTCTTGAGCTTCCTCCAGCTCTTTAGCCAGATTGCCATCTTTGGCCGACTTGTTCTTGAGAACCACTTGCGCCCTCATCTTGTACCTTTCAAACTCTTCCTTCAGCTGCTTCAGCTCCTGCTGGTAGTACAAAGCAGTGGCCTTCTCACCATCTGCAGCCTCAGTGCCCTTCGGCAGCTCCAGCTCACACAGCTTCTCGATGTCCAGAGCGGGCTGACTCTTCTTAGCGGCTGCCTGCAAGAGCTTCTTCAGCTTCTCCATTTTATCCTTTAGAACATTAACATCCAGATTGGCTTCTTCTACGTGAATGTCAACAGGGGATCGGCTGGAGGCGGCGATGGCCAGGGTTTTGTTCTCCAGGTCCAACTGTACGATGCGGTCCTTTAGCTTCTGAATGACCGCTTGGTCTTTCTGCTTGGCTTTTTCGTAAGTGCCAAGTAGTTCTGACACTTCGGAGACTTGGCCCTCCAAGTCGGCCACTCGCCGCTCCTCCATCTGGGCGTGCTGGCGGAGCTGCTCCTCTGCCTGTGCAGCCTGAGAGCGGAGAGACACGGCAGGGTTAGATTAGCTCAACACCCTGGGCAGGAGGTCTGCGGTTTACACGAGGGCTTAATTCTGCTCTGCTGAACTCCAAACAAGTGCAGGGCCATCCTCTCCCCTAGAATATTTTATGAGCCACCACACTGACCTGCCTTTTTGGATATTTGTTTATTTTGTCATAAAATAAACTAAAAGCATATTTGCTTTTGTTCCCTGCTCCGCAGAGGTCCTGTTACCGGCTTTATCCACATTGTCGTAGGTGTGTGTGTGGGGGGGGGAAGCAATAAACTCACATCACAGTCTGCTACAGGACTTTTTTTTTTAGAACATGTGCGTGCTCTAAAGCCTTTATACATCTAACTGCAATTTACTTAAATGCTATCCTTTGTTGCACCGATATTAATATAATTCAGTGGTTTCTGACTAACTACAGCAAACACCTGGTGTTCACAGTTTTTACGGCTCTTGGGATCCGCCTGACTAATAAGTACCCTGGACGATGGCAGCACTTGACAACCACCCCTGTGAACTAAAACACAGCCTCTGTCGGAGAGAAGCTGTTAGAGACCACTTCCAAAAAAAGGGAAGAATTGCGTTAAATCAGCCTGATGCTTCAGATTAGAAAGAAGAAAACTTGTTCCAGACTGCAAGGAGATGAGGAAGATCCCATTGCAGAGTGTTTCCACATGCAAATTCGGTTACTGGCGCCAAGCCCCTGATGCCAGCCCCCAAGCACATTGCCTCACAACCCGCAGTTACGCAGGTTCCTCTTTTCCACCACATCCCCCTTTCTAGCCCTCGCTCTCCCCCCACACGCACACAGGCTAGAGCTTTTCTCCAGTATTTACCTTTCTTCTTTCCCTCGAGCACCCTGAGCTTCACTGAAGGTTAGTCAGAGGGTGAGCTCCTGTAATTGTACCTTGCACTGCACTTACATACTTCACGAGACAAGACCACGCTCATGGCCGTAGTGGGCCAGAGGAGAGGTGTCTCCTCCCAAGCCCAGCCACTGTCTCATCAGGCAGTAACGTGTTCAGAACTAAATGACAATGTGGAGGACAGTCACCATGTAATCACCTCAAGGGTTGCTCCCAAATCCAATGGTCACCACCCCCTGCTTAACGACCATATCACAAACAGCTTTTTTTTTGTGATACACTGTATCACAAACAGCTTTTATTTTCCTCAGGGACCATCACCCCATCAAAGCCATGATGCTCTCGGTTATTTCAAACCTCTTGGACTCTGCAGGACTGGGAAGGGGAATTTGTGCTCCTCCAGCCTCAAACCCTGCCCCAAGGGCTCCCGATACATCCCACAGAGCGACCTGCTCCAGGGCCCCAACAGGGAATTACCTTCCTCATCTCTTGCAGCAGCTGCATTTGGAAGTGGTTCTTAAGGCTGGCCATTTCCTCCTGCAGATCCTGTATCCGAGGGTCTGGCTTGTTGTTCTCCTCCTGAACAGCTTTCAGCTCCCTCTTCAGGTCTTCCACCTCCTGGCTCAGCTGCTTGATCTGCAGCTCATACCCCTCCGCACGGTCAGCCATGCACGCCCTCCCGGCCAGCACCTCCCTGGTCTCCTCCAGCTTCAGCTCTGCATCCTGGCGCAAAGTCCTCTCACCCTGCAGCAGCTTCTGTAGCTCTCGCAGCATAACAGCGTGGTCACCCTGTTCTTGGGCTCGGTCATGCTGCTGCGTGATCAGACGGGCTTTGGTCTCAGCTAGCTGATCCTGGGCAGACTTCAGTTCTGTCTCCAACTTCTTGGTCTCATCCTCTGCTTTCTTAATGGCGTCATCCAGGTCCTGCTTCATCTTCCTCTTGTCTGCTTGGTAGGAGGCTTCCATGCGGGACTTCTCCTGCGTGACTGTTGACAGAGCGCTGGTCAAGGTGGCCAACTGGGTCTTCAGCTGGAGCACTCTTTTATCAGCCTCAATAGCAGCAGATGACACATCCCCGCTGCTCGTGCTGATGCCACTCTCTGAACCACTCGTCTCTTCTGATTTAAGAGAGGAAGTGGCGACCGCAGGCTTATCATCCTCAGGCCCTGGTTCACCCTTGGTACTGGCCAGACTGGCAGCAGTGTCTGCACTGGTAGCTGTCCCCATGCTATCTTCGCTGTGAACAGAGCTCCTGTCATCAGCAGAATCAGCAAAGGAGGAGCTGGAGCTAGCCACAGACGCAGGCTGAGCACCGCTCAAGCCAATATCTGCCTCATGAGACACGGACAATACTTTCAAGCTGGCCTCCAAGGCTTCCTTCTCTTTGAGTAGGCTCTTGTAGGCTCTGACGACATCCTTCAGCCGAACCTGGTACTGAAGAAGCTGCTTCTTCTGCGACTCAATAGTCTCGAGAAGATCTTTTTTACTCGGGCCACCTCCAAAGTTCATGCCAAACTTCTCCATGATTCATACAACCTGAAAGGAGAAAAACAGCACAAAGGCTAAACGAGCAGCAAAGACAGATCTGCCATCGGCAGGAGCCGCAGCTAAGCAGGTCCATCATCCTGAACCCTCCCAGGACGCCACACGGTTAACGACTCTGGAACGCATCCAGCGCCAGGCACCGAACGCTGCAAAGCGCCCGCGTGCCCCAGGGGCTGCGGGGCTCAGCGCACAGGCCCTGCTCCGAGGGGAACGCTCCTGCTATAGAACCATAGAAGAGAATCACGGAATCCTTAAGGCTGGAAAACACCTTTAAGATCATCAAGTCCAACCGTCAACCCAACACCCCCACGCCCACTAAACCATGCCCCGAAGTGCCACGTCCACACGTTTTTTGAACACCTCCAGTGACGGTGACTCCACCAGCTCCCTGGGCAGCCTGTGCCAGTGC